GTGGCCTTGGCCATCTGCAGGGCTGGGTGGGTCTCTGCTAGACCAGCGGCCGGGATCCCCTTCCTTCCCCCCCCGCCTTCCAGCTGGACTGAGATCCAGTGATAAGCAGCTCCACAATACATCCCCGAAATCTGTCACCCGTAGAGCTGAAGGGCTTCAGGGCACTCGGGAAATAGCTGTTGGACGGGGGAGTGGGGAAGGGATCCAGGAGCAGCTGGTCTAGCAGAGACCCACCCAGCCCTGCAGATGGCCAAGGCCACGGAACCAGCAGGGCAAAGATGCCGTGGAGCATAGACGCAGCCAGCCCTCCAGCTCATCCCAAATTGATCCACAGAGGATGCTGCCCTCTTCTGGGCCTAGCGTGACTGGCAGAGATTCAGGGAAACTTGGAAAGGCCCGAGTGCTTTTTGGGGCTCAAATCCCCACACAGAGTTTCTCAAATGTGGTGACTTTCCATACCTGTCTCAGTGAACATCCCAGGGACTTTTCCCGCCGAGAATCAGGCTGCTGGGTCTGCGGGTGACCTCTGAGCGCAGCCTGGAAAGGGAGAAGCAGCGTCAAGATCAGGAGCCGTCCCTGAAAGACAGGGAGATGGGTACTTCTCTTGGGCCAGCTGCCAACTGTGAGATCTGCTAGCATTTAATTGTAATTATTATTTTCATTAATTAATTAATTTGATAGCAAAATAAGCTCTCATTTAATTAATGAACTTGTAATAGGGTCCTGTGTCGCCCCATCAGCCCGGGGACGGCCGACCGCCCGCCGCGTCCCCGCCCCGCCACCTGCGGGGGGACACAGGGGCCGGAGCTGGGGTGGTCCCTGCGGACTCCCGTGTCCTCGGAAGGCGCTGCCCCCCCGGCAGGTGCCGACCAGCCCTGCCCGGGCCGGGCCCCGCCTGCCGGCCCCGCCTCCTGCCGGCACTTCCCCACGGCCCGGGCAGGGCTGGGGCGGCTCCGCGGGCCGTGCCCGCCGTGCGGAGCTGCGGGAACACTTCCCGCCGCGGGATCCCCCTCTTGCCTGCCCCGAGCGGCCCTGCGGCACCGGTGGCACAGCTCCTGCACAGTGAGCCCCGGAGCTCCCGCGGACCTCGGGCAAGCAGGAGCCCGCCTCGCCCGCCTCCCCAGCATGAGGACGCCGACGGCGATGATCGTGGGACTGGTGCTGTGCCCCTGCGGGCTCCTGCTGACGCTCACGGGCACCCTGGCACCCAGCTGGAGGAAGGTGAGCCTCGTCCCTAACCAGCCCATGGACCTCGTCTGGGAGCAGGGCATCTGGGACATATGCAGGGAGCGGCAGAGCACCCATGACCGCCTCTGCGGGCAGGCTGATGAGCTGGGCTACTTTGAGGAGGTACCCGTGCGGGTGGCCCAAGGGCTGATGCCCTCCTCGCTGGTGATCACACTCCTGGGCTTGGTGGTGGCTGCCCTGGGGGTTCGCTGCTGGCAAGAGGAGCCACGGCACCTGCTGGCTGGAGTGGCAGGGCTGGTGCTGCTTCTCTCGGGGCTGATGAGCCTCGTGCCCACCTCCTGGTACACCCATGAGCTGTGGGCACTGCCTGCACTGCCTGGCAGCACACTGGCTGTAGGCTACAGCTTGGTGCTGAGCTACTTAGGAAGCTGTCTGGAGATCTTGGGGGGGCTGGCCCTTGCCCTCAGCTTCCACCAGTGCTGCAAGGAGCGCAGGGCCCCCAAACTGTCCCCCAGCCCTGTGCTGGAGCCTGGGCTGTGCTCCACCATTGGGGCTTACAGCAATCCCTGGGACGTGCTGAAGGATGAGCGAGATGGACAGCACTGGAGGAACAATCCACCTTGTGACTCGGACTTGTAGCCCCAGCACCAGGACAGCAGCCACCTGCCTGGCACTGAGAGCAGTGCTGGCTCCTGACCTACAAGCCATGCCCTTCTTCTGGGGCACCTCAAAGCAGCCTGAAAACAAGACCAAGGACCTGGCTTGAATCTCTGCAGCTTCCTCAGAAGTCTGCTGTGCTCTAGGTCCTACAACTGTGCCAAATCCACACTGGATTGAGGGCTATACATAGCTCTAGTCCCTCCATGCAGCTTTTAACTCATCCTCCTGCACAACAGCTTGGTCAGAGGCAGCTTCACTGTTCCCATGTAAGCAAGGTATAGGTTAGCACCATGCAACCTTCAGGACTGAGAATAGGGGAGGGGTGCACCTCCCACATGTCTCTGCCCAACTCAGGACTGTGCAAACAGCAAAATAAATGCAAAGCAATGGGTCTGTACTGTGGGATGATTACAGGCTTTCTGCCAGGTAGGCTCGGCTGAGAGCCAGTGGGCATGGCTAACCCAGCCTCCCTGTGCTTTGCCTAAAGCAGGGAGGAAAAGTCTATAAAAGTTTTATGGCACCTTCCTAAAGGACTTTTTCCCCATGGACAAAATCAGCTCTGGTAGAGGTTTCTCCCTCCTTGAGCACAGCCACTTCAGGGGGGGGAAAAAAAAACCAACAACGGAACACAGAGTACAAAATAGCATATTCAACATTAGCCTGGTATGATGTGGTAAAACTGGTCTCACTGGTTTGTAAGGGACAGTCAGGAGGTCAGAACTGGACTATAAAATCCTGCTCAACATCTTGCATAACATGATAAGAGCAAAGCCAGCTTCCTTGCAGAGCTATTTGGCCATATTTCCACCCCAGGCAAGCCCAAAGCACCATGGTCAGCAAGCTAAGCCTTGCTGCAGAGGGACAGTGGCTCATGATGCTCTTAGTGTGGTTATAGGATAGTACAGGATGCATCCTGCAACAGGGGATCAGATTCAGGTGGCTCAGAGTGTGTTGGGATTGGAGACTTCCTGATAAACCTCCCAAACCTTTATCCTCTGGATTCTTATGTTCCCTAGAGCTTAGACATCGGGAAAGAGCAAACCTCCCCAGCCCACACACAAACCACAGCGGCACAAGAGATGCTGCACAACGTTCCTTTATGAAAATACAGTGTTGGGGTGAGATGGTCCCTTCCTTGGCAGAGCTGGCAGCTCCTGCAGAGATCACAGATGGGTGCGTGAGGGGTGAGTCTGAGCCAGCTTCTCTGAGCCCACCCCACACTTTATCACAGGGGTTCCAGCCACACTGGAGCTGGACAGCCCTTTCAGACACCAGGCACCCCACGTGTTGCCCCTCTCCTCCAGCAGGAGGAGAGAGCTTGCCTCAGGAGTGGCACCATGCCAGCACTGGGCCTTGGGGCACCCCAGGGTGGCAGGGGTGACCCTACCAGGGCCTGCTCCCGTTGCTACTCACCTCTTTCCCATCGTAAGCTTCATTCACAAATGTATCACTCTTGGGGGGAAGCTCTTCCTCCTCCTCCTCATCCTCTTCCTCGGGGTCACTTTCACGGTGGTACAAGGTTAGCACCCGGGTGGAAGCAGTGCTTGAGGTCCTGGGGAGGAAAAAACATACACTAAGAATGGCATGGCCATCTCCTAGAGGTGGGGCAGATCCTGAGGTCCTGCCACAAGCCCTGGTAATAGCCTGCTGGGGTGATCGAGCTTTCTGTATAACCCAGGGGTGCATCAGGACACCACACTGTCCCCGGGCAAGGAGACGCAGTCCCTCTCTATCCCCATTTATACCTGGCCCAGCCCAACCCCAGAGTTCACCTCCTCCGCCTGTCCCGCCTCCGCATGTAGGCCAGGGCCCCCACAGCAGCAGCAGCGAGCAAGAGGAGAACGGCCACGCCCAGGACGATGGGTCCTGCGAGGGGCTGCACCTCTGCTTCCTCGCAGTAGTCGCCACGATAGCCCAGGGCGCAGTGGCACGTCACTCGCCCGGCCTCGATGGCGCAGTCCCCGCGCAGGTTGCACGTCTCGCTGCTGCACGGTACAGCCCTCAGCACCTCCTCCGTGCTGGGGGGTACCAGGAAGGGCTCTCCGTGCTCCCGGGGTCCAGGGGCTGCGGGTGGGCTGGGGCTGGGCTGCCGAGGCTGCAGTGCAGTTGCGGGTGAGGCTGGTTTCTGTTCTTCCACGTGGGACATTCCTGATGGTGACACTGCGGGGACTTGCGTCCCCACCTGCTGGGAGGGGCCTGGCGGGAGGAGCATAGATCAGCAAGAGACCCAGGCAAGTCCTCCTTCCCAAGCTGGGGGAGACTGGCCGGGCTACCCCGTGCCCTGCCAGGACTGCTGCACGCCCTGGCTGTGGGCAGGCACTCACAGTCAGACTCATCGGAGCCGTCAGCGCAGTCAGAGCGCCCGTCACAGACCTGTTCTCCAGAGATGCAGCTCTGGAGGTCAGGGCAGGGCTGGAGCGTGGCAGGGCAGGACAATGCTGGTGCACATGCTGCTCCACGCACGAGGTGGTAACCGTGAGAGCAGCGGCACTGCCGCCCGGCAGGGTTGGGCAGGCAGAGCTGGGCACAGCCCCCGTTGCTCTTTGCACAGGCATTGGTGCCTGCCAAAACAGCACGAGTTAGCATGGACACCACTGAGCATGGCTCAACCCCACAGATGCCCCGGGGCTGGGACAGTTGCACACCCACCTTCCTGTGAGAACTGGCTGTAAATCCTCATGGCTACCAAATCCTTCTCCATTGTGAACCACCACCTCTCGGCCCGCTCCAGCCGGCTGTGCCAGATCTTGCTGGATCCTGGATACACATGGGGTCATCACTGCTCCACTTCCTCCCATAAGAGTGCCCAGGATATGAGGTGGGGGTCCCCTAACCTCTCCTTCACCCCACAGAGGGGCAGCCTGCACCCCACAGGGACTGGCAGAAACCCCTGTGTCCCAGTGCTGTAGGAGGAGCTGGACAAAGTACAGCAAACAGACCCACCATTGGTTGAGGTCGTGCTCCAGAGCAGAAAGCCTTCTCCTATGGCAAACAGTGAGAGACCATGCAGCCCTTCCCGCACCACCCGAAAGTGGGATCCATCCAGCTCGATGCTGCTGATGGTACCTCTCTCTGCAGGACACAGATGGAGCAACATCAGTGTGGAGACATGGAGGGCTGTGTGGGGCTTTGCCTTGGGGAGGGCTGAGTGCCTGCACCACTGCTACCCCCAGCAGTGCCCCAGCACAGCCCACACTCACCGTGGTCTGCCCAGTACAGCCTGGTGCCAGCAGCCCCAAAGGTGAGGCCAGTGGGAGCCCGGGCTCTCCTCCAGACCACTCTGCGGCCAGTGCCATCCATGGCTGCACACTCCACTGTGGCACCGGGCGCATGGCTGCCAGCTGCTGTGACAAAGCACATGGTGGAGGCACGAGGGCACAGTGCCAGCCAGGCAGCACCCTGCAGCCCCTCACTGAGTAGTGTCAGGGCCCACCGCCCCCCAGGAGCTGCCACATGGATGCTGGGCAGCTGCCCCCTGATCCAGTACAGGTTCCCACTCAGCCAGTCCAAGGCCAGGGATGTCACTGTGCCCTCCACAGCTACTGCCTTCTTCCAGGACAGCCGTCTCCAGTCCTTCAGGCGCAGCAGTCCGATGGAGTTGCCTCCCACCTCTGCAAAGTACAAACTCTTGTCTTTCACTGCGTAGTCAATGGCTGTCAGGTGGCCCACCTTGGCCAAGGGCAGGGCCTGGTGCAGGGGAAGCTCTTGGGATCCAGATGTTGCAGGCAGGTCCTTCAGGTAGACCTGGAGGAAGGAGGCAGCACTAAGATGGGGACCTTTCTCCTCTGACAGCAGCTAAAGACAGCAGCCCCTAGGGCTGGCTCTGGAGGATGGTACCTGTGCCACAGCTGCTGGTGACACCAGGAGAGCAAAGGCTGAATCACGGAGGGGCAGGCAGGTGGTCTCATCGGCAGCCAGCACCAGCCTGGCAGGGCACCGGCACTGCCCAGTGTGCCTGGCACTCAGCAGGCACAGGTGGGAGCAGCCACGTGTCTCACAGGGGTTAGGGGCTGTGGGGCGCAGGGCTGGGTGCATCACCTGTGAGAAGGGCAAGCTCAGCTCACAGCCCTATCAGCACCCACCAGCAGAGCTGAGCACGACTGACACCGTGCCCTGCTCCCAAGGCCCACACATGGCCCAGCTCTGGGCAGGATGGTGAGGCAGAGATGTTCCAAGAGGACCAGAGATACTTGGCTACAGGGGCTGCTGCCCAAGGACCACCGGGATGGGGGTACAGCTCCCAGTGCCTCCACACTTAGAGGATGACAGGACCATGCAGGTTGAGAGACCCAGCAGAGCTAGCACAGCAGGGTTTGGGGCTCCCCAAGTAAGTACCTTGAGGCCATGAGGCTGCCCGTGCTGCTTGAGCAGCGTGGTTCTGTTCTTGCCACTGGCCTTGTCCACCTGCTGCACGGACCATGTCTTCCTCTCTGACCAGTAGATCTGGCCCTCACACACGGCCGCCGCGAAGGGGCTCCGGACCCAGCTCAGCTTCAGGACCTGTCAGAGAGGCTGTAAGTGCCCACCCCAGTCCCCATCAGGGCCCCGTCAGCAATGCCCCACCACAAACCTTCACACTGGTGCCATCCAGACTTGCAGAACTGACACTGCCCAGCTTCTCATCCAGCCAGAAGATCCTCTGGGTAGGGAGGTCGAGGGCTAGTGCTGTGGGCCAGCCCAGCCCCTTGGCCAGCAGCACGTGCCGCCGACTCCCGTCCATCGTGGACTCCATCAGCCGTGGGTGGCTCCCCACCTCTGACCAGTACAGCAGCCTAATGAGAAGAGAGGTGCCGGCCCATGGACCACACACAGCATCGTCCCAGTACATGGAGGAAAATGGGGCAGGGGAGGGATGGTAAGGAGGTCCCCATGTCCCCTTGTGGCAGACTTACCCTGCCAGAGGTTGGAGCACCAGAGAATGGGGCTGGTCCAGGTCTCCATCCATCACCACAGTGTACTCTGGTATCCCTTGCCAGGCAGCGCCCAAGCGAGTGGCCAGCACCTGTCCTGCTGCACCATCTGTCCAGTACAGGTTCCTCCCAAGCCAGTCCACTGCTATACAGTCTGATCTCACACCTGCAACACATCCAAGAGTCAGCACCTCTGGGGTGACAGCTGCATGGCCCTCTGGCACGATGCTCCCCAGCCCACATCCTCTCCATCCCAGCCTCTCTGGCTCCTCCCAGCCTTGCTCCCAACTAGCACCTCTCCACACAAGGTGACACAGCCTGGTACGCCACTGCAACCTGGAGATTGCCCAGTGACAGAGGCCAGCTCTGCTACCCCCCATGCTGTCACAGCCTACCTTTCACCAGTGTGCCTTTCTTGCCCGAGTTGAGGTCCTGCCAGCGGATGCTCTCTGTGGCCAGGTCCATCCAGAAGACTTTCCTCTCCACCAAGTCATAGTCGAGTGAGAAGACGACGCGATCCTTGTCAGTGGCCAGCAGCACCTCCTTACGCCCACTCCGCAGGCCATAGGACAACACCTCTGACTGCACAGCCACCAGCAACACGGGCTCTGGTCCTGGGGCAACACAGAGCGCCCCGGACCCTGCTCAGCACTGGTGGCCCTGCATGGCTCAACACATGCAGGCAGGGAATAAAGCACTTGCAGGCACTGAAGCCTGCTGGGACTCAGCCCTACCAGATAAGATGTTCTCAGATAGTGCAGATGGATTTTCTGACCAGCTGTAGGCTGGCAATCATCAGCTCACAGCTGAGTGGGGCCTGGCAGGCAATGTGGCAGAGGAGACAGGGCCATTCATGGGACCACAAGCCTCCCTGGGGCAGCAGGCACAGGGGAACAGGTACCCACCAGCTCCTGGTGTACTCTAGGGGGCCAGGGATCCTCAGCAGTGCTTGGCCATCCCCTGACTTACCAGTGAGTTTGCAGACATGGCCATCGGGCTCCAGCAGGTAGCCAGGGAGACAGCCACAGCTGTAGGACCCTGGGGCATTGAGGCATGTTTGGCTGCAGGCTCCCTCACCCCACTCGGTGCACTCGTCTATGTCCATGCAGAACAGACTATCCTTGGCAAGCCGATAGCCTGGGCCACACCAGCACCGCTGTGGGGAAAAGGACCATCAGCTTCCCACCCTGGGGACATGAGGCTCCCTCCTGCAGCTGGACCAGGGCATCATGGCAGGGCAAGCCCCTGGCAAAGGGCTAGTGGCACTCACAGGGCCCTGGGGCGAGGGGTAGCAGAGATGAGCGCAGGACTGTTTGCAGGGCACAGAGCAGTTTCCCCCCTCGTCTGAGCCATCCGCGCAGTCCTGCCGGCCGTCACACACCAAGGATGCATTCAGGCAGGCCCCCAGCCCACAGGGGTACTCATGACTCTGGCAGGGAGCAGGCTGGCCTGCAGGGACATGTGGAGAAGGCTGCCCTAAGCCTCGTCCACCAGCTCCTTTTGCTCACCTGGGGCAGATTTAATGGCTCCTAGAGCCTGCCCAGAGCTTATTGCAGCTACATCCAGAGCTGTGCCAGTAGCCTGGCTTCAGGCTATATTAATCCAAAGGCCACCAGCCATACATGGACAACAGCTGGGGCCTGGAGCCACCAGAGATGCTGGGAATAGGCAATCAGCATGTAGGGCCTTTTACCTCAGCACAGACACATACCCATCTTCCTCTGTGCTGGGCACCCACCAGCTACCCCGGGTGATACACAGAGGGGGTAAAATCAGGGTGTAGCTCACAGCCAGCTTCGTCACTGCCATCTGTGCAGTCAGTCTCTCCATCGCAGCGCCAGACATCAGGGATGCACTCATGGCCATGGGAGCAGCCCCACTGCTGGTCCCCACACAGCGCTTCCTCCCAAGGACAGTCCTGCGAAGGCAGAGGGTAAAGAGGGTTACCAGCTCGCCCGGGCACGAGCAGGGACAAGCGCTGTCCCTGCTACCCCACTCACCTGCTCCCTGCTACCCCACTCACCTGCTCGTCTGTGCCATCCCCACAGTCAGCAGCGCCATCGCAGCGCCAGGCCTCCGGCACACACTCCCCACTGTGGGAACACGTCACCTCACCCGCACGGCAGAGCAGTGGCCGGGGCACAGCACAGCCCTCCTCGTCTGAGTGGTCCTGGCAGTCGTGGTCACCATCGCAGTGCAGGGCCAGGGCCACGCACTGCCCATTCCGGCAGGGGAACTCAGCTGGGCCACACTCCTTCGGCGCTGTGGGCAAGGCCAGGGCTGAGCAGGTGCACTGTCCTCATTCCCATCCCACCAACGGAGACATGGCACTGAGCAGGGTACGGCCTCTGCAGCTGCTCAGCAGGTTGCCCCAGGCAGTGCCTGCTCCTGGACCCACAGGAAAACCGGTGCATTCACCAGTGGGGCAGGTAACCTCAGAAACCCCTGTCCTGTCCAGCCCCAGGGTCTCACCACAGCCCTGCTCGTCAGTGTGGTCCAGGCAGTCAGCATGGCCATCACACAGCCAGCTCTTGGGGATGCAGCGGGTGGCAGCGTCACAGCGCAGGGCACACTCCTGCGTGGGGGTCCAGCAGCCTGTCTCATCTGAGGCATCGGGGCACTGGGGCACCCCATCACAGCGCTCTCCCGCCCCGACGCACATGGCTCCGCTCGCGCAGTGGAAGGCCCCTGGGGAAACAAGGGGCCTTGCACTGCCTGCAGAAGGCAGCTGGGGTGCCCAGACACTTAGTCCCCCAGCGGCCCAGAAAAGCCATACGCTACAGTGGCCCCTCCTAGCCAGTGCATCTCCAGCAGCCTAGGTCCTGAGCAGGGTGACTGAGGCAGTCTCAGCTCAGCCACATCTAGGTCACTGTGAGCAGTGGGACCAGCCCCATTGCCTTCTGACAGCATCTCCAGTCCAGTGCCAAGCTCAGAAGGCAACAGTATGCCACATGATGACCATCAGAGCCCAGGACACACTCAGATTTTTCCAGGGCCCCATCTCACCAACCCCATCAGCAAGCAGCCAGAAGCCCTGGTACAGGGTGACCCAACTGTACAGAGAGTCGACTGAAGAATGGCTCCTACCTGGGGTGTTGCAGAGCTGGGCACACCCATCCTCATCAGAGCCATCTGCACAGTCTTTCTCCCCATCACACAGGTACTCCTGAGCCACACACTCAGTGCCATCACGGCAGGACACGTGTGTGCGAGGACAGGACAGATGAAGGACTGGGGTCAGGGGGTGAGCAGGGCTGGATGGGAGTGGTGGGGTAGGTGGCACTACCCGTGCAGGACTGGTTGAGTGCTGGGTGGTAGTAGTTGGCCGTGGGACGATGACCTTAGTTGGCAAAGCTGGAGTGGTGGTGGTGGTGCTGGTGGTTGTTGGGTGCACGGTGGTGGTCTTGGTTGGTGTGGCAGTGGTTGGCAGAGGGGTGGTTTTTGTTGATGTGGACTGGCTGGTGGTGGTTGGTGTGGACCGGCTGCTGGTGGTGGCCTTGCTGGTTGGTGCAGGAATAGTGGTGAGCACAGTGGTGGTCTTGCTTGGTGTAGATCTTGTGGTGGACGTGGTGGGACGAGCAGTAGTGGTGCTTGTGATTGTCCTCATAGTGGTAGTCACAGGTGGAGGGAGTGGCAGGGCAGACCCCTTGCTTGGTGGCACTGGCAGAGGATTTGGGATTTGGGGCTGTGCCATCCCCACACCCTGGGCACTTTCCAGAGCACCCCACATGGGCACCAGAAGCCAGGCACCCTGCCCCACTTCAGAGCAGCATGGGCCACCCAGCCCCACCAGACACAGCCCCTGTGCCAGGCACAGAGCCATGGCTGCCCTTACCAGCCTGCAGGTCCAAGGCCACGAAGGCCACTACACCCTGCACGCCTGCTGCTGGCATGGACAGCACAAGGGTCAGTGTCCTCCGGTCCCACAGTAGCAGAGCTGTCCCATTTGCCGACACCAGATATGGCTCAAAGGCTGCCACAAGGCCGTGGGGCCAGCTGGGTGCCAGGGTGACTGCTTGCCGCTTGGTCAGACTCAGCGCCTGCAGGCCTGTGAGGCAGAGGGATGGTAGGACCCGGGGCCCACAGGCATCCCTCGTGGCCCACCCTGTGCCCCCATAACCCACAGCTATCGCAGGGACCTCATGGCTGAGGCCAGGGGCTCAGCCATGGGAAAGAGTCTGCCCCATGAGCATCCTACTGCCCAGGCAGGGACCTGCTGCATGTAGGGCATGGCTGATCACTCCTGCCTACATCCACCACCTCTGCTCTCTGCTCCAGATACCACCAGGGCTCACCCAGGGTGGAGCTCCAGAGCACGCTGAAGGCTCTGCTATCCATGGCTGCAGGCAGGTCTCCAGGCCATGTCTCGTTCCAGGCATCCCACGGAGCACCCCCAGCCAGGCTCAGCTGCTGCAGGGGCTGCCCACGGGCTAGCCAGTACAGAGCACCCCGCTGCCAGTCCAAGAAGAGGTGCTGGATACTGCTGCGAGCACGGTGCAGGATGCGCGGGAACATGTCAGATGTCCGGATCACCCCGATGTCCCTCCGGTTACATGCGAGCCAGTACAGGTCCCCCGAGCGGATGTCCACACGGGCAGAGCAGACTTGGCAAGAGCAGGCAGGCAGGCAGTTACAGGGCTGTCCCATCACCCTGCTTCTCTGCCTGGGTCCCCCAGCCCCTAAACCCAGGGCACAGCTGCCTACTGCCTTGGCACAGACCCACTGTGGGCACCATCAGACTACTGTGCTCTGCACCCAGGACATACTCAGGCCTCAGGGAGCATCAGGAAGGGGAGTATGCCCTCCATCACCCCATAGGGTCTCACCTGGCTGCCCAGTTGCAATGGCCTCTCTCCTGCCAGGGTGCCCCACAACACTCAGCAGCGTCCCACGGTCATCTGTTCCATAGAGCACTGACCTCTGCCAGTCCACATCTTGCAGGTGGAAGGGCTCTTGCCACTCCTGTACCCATTTGCTGTGTGCTCCAGGACCCACATGCACCAGGGAGATGGCCTTTCCTGATGCATACATGATGGACAGCTCTGCAGGGTACAAGGGCAATGTGTGAGCATAGCCCCAGCAGTACTGGACAGGGCCACCAGCATGAACCAAGGCAGAAATGTAACAGCAGTGGTGTATGCTGGGCCTACCCCACCAAAGCCACAGCCCTCCCCCAGCTCCCACAGGGATATATACTGCCCCAGAGAGCCAACCCACCTCATAGACCCTGCTCACCTGTGCACTTTCCTGAGGGCAAGAGGAAGAGGCCCTCTGGACAGGCACACTTGTAGCCCCGAGGGTGCACAGGTGACAGGAGGCAAAGATGACTGCACAGGCCCGGAGCACATGCAGCAGTGTCCCCTGGGAGCAAGGGGACATTAGAAGCTCAGGCAACCGTGACCCTCTAATGTCTCTCCCAATCCCCAAAATCACAGACTGTCCTGGGGCTGGATATGGGCTGGCAGATATGGTAGCAACATCACATGAGTTAGGAGGGTGCAGCTCTACCCGAAGCCATGGGACTTGGCAGCTTTCCTATGGACTCATATGTCCCCTCTGTCTCAACCACACAACCCCTCATCACAAGACCAGGTAAACCATTGGGCAGGACCCAGTGAGCTCCAGGACCTAGCACAGCCTCCCCCAGCATCCAGGAATGCAGTGGGGGTGCTGCCAGCCCTGCAGTGGTGCAGCACCCACAGGGTACTTACGGGGAGGCTGCTGCAGTGCGTGCACCACAGTGAAAGCTGAGACAGGGGCGCGGAGCAACACTGCGTGCTCCTGGGGAGAGGCCCAGGTGGCTGACACCAGCTCTGTGCCATCGGTCCAGAAGAACCGGCTCTCAAACACAGCCAGGCCCAGAGGCTCCGTGTGGCTCCGCAGAACAGCATGAAAGGAGTGGCGCCCACTGCCATCCACCCGTAGCGTCTCGATGGACTGGGGACAAAGCAAGGTATGATGACTGTGTGGCATCCCCATGCCCTGGCAATGTCCCACAGCCACAGGCCTCATGGTGATGCCGTCACCTCCCAGTCCAGGGATGTAGGCCAGACCTGGGCACTGCTCCCTGCTCTCTCCTGTGCCTTGGATGTAGACAGAGAGGAACCAGGGCCACCCTCCCAACTCCCATCTCATCATCTCCCTGTGGGAGGAGAGCCCTGCTGTCCCTTGTCCCTACCTCCTTGTACTCGCTAATCCAGTACAGTCTCCCAGCCACATGGTCCAAGCTTAGCCCCACAGGCTCCTCCATGGGCACCACTGTGAGCTCCCGCCGGTTTGAGCCATCCATGCCAGCCGCAGCAATGACTGTCCGGCCTCGCTGCCCACGGTTGACCCAGTACAGTGACCTAGGGGCAGGCACCAAGGAACCACTTCACAGCATAATACCAGTGCTGCCACAGCCCCACAACAGGCAGGACACAGTCAGCACCAGCATCACGATCCCAGGGCCACCCCTGGCTCATTCACCCCTCACCTTGCAGCCGGATGCACTGTCAGCTGCTCTGGTGCAATGTCTTTCCCCAGCACTGTCACATAACCCCGGCCATCACCCAGCCCTGCACAGATAGCTGGAGGATGGCTGCTGGCCCAGTACAGCTGCCCTGTGAACCAGTCGAGTGAGATGCTGTTCACCTCTCTGGCATCTGCAGAGACAGAGTAGTTTTAAGGCATACCAGCCTGCTCCAGGCTGCAAGGCAAACCCAAGTTGCCCCTTACTCTGTATAGGAAAGGCAGGACTGAGGTGGCAGGCCAGCTCTCAGCACCCATCTCAGCCCCACTACAGCACCCAGCCTCGCTCCTCCCCACCTGCATAAAGGGGCTGTGTGCCTTTCCCCAGGGAGTGAACGCGGAGCTCGCCATCCTCTGTCAGCCAGTAGTAGGTTTCTCGGAGCTGGTCATACACCAGGGCGCGGGGTTCGGTCTTAGTGGAGAGCTGAGGCCGGTAGGCTTGGGTCCGTACATCCAGAAGGGCCAGGTCCTGCCCCACGGCCACCAGGATCTGTGTTGCATTGTCTGCCAGGGTGAGAGGAATGCCACTCAGTGAGCAGGGATGTAGCTAGCTGGGTGCACTGCCCAGCCCCTCAGCCAGCCCGGGCTCCCCAGCTCACCCTACCTGTCACTTCACAGGCGGTGCCGTGCTGCAGGGTATAGCCCCGGAGGCAGGCACAGCTGTAAGTGCCTGGGGTGTTGCTGCACAGCTGGCTGCAGGGGCTGTACTCCAGGGAGCATTCATCCACATCTGCAGGGATAGGTGCAGTCAGGAGCCTGCCACAGGAGCTGCCCCAGACAGTGTTGTCACTGCTCCCCAGGGACCACAGGCAGGCTCCCTCATACCAGAACACGGGCCTTACCCCAAAATGCACCACATGCTGCTGGGACATTATCTAGATATGGCCTTTGTGGGGCCAGACATGACACATGGGCAGGAACAGGGCAGAGGCAGGCGTTCCCACAGAAGCACTCCATGGGAGTGCTCCATGGAGACCCTGCTCTCAGTGGCTGAGGCCACATGTGCCTGAAGCGCATGCACCCTTATCTTTCCTTACCAGCACAGCTCTGCCCATCTGCCTGCAGCACCCAGCCAGCCCCGCAGGAGCACTGCACTCCCCAGTGTGTGTCAGCACATGTCTCTGCACAGCCCCCGTTGCGTACAAAGCAGCTCTGATCTGCGGGGACACAGCAAGGGGTGACATGAGGCAGGACAACTCTGTGGCTCCCCTCGGCCCCAGCCTCATGGGCAGCGGCCAGCAGCCATACCCAACTCACCACACGTGATGGGCTCATCAGTACCGTCCAGGCAGTCAGCCTCTTCATTGCACATCAGGGACTCCAGGATACACTTCCCCTCATCGCACCGCACCATGCCAGGTGGACAGGTGGCTATGGCATACACAGCTCATGTCATCAGGGCAGACCAGTACCAGGTGGACAAAGGGGAAACCCTGGGTCCCAGACTCATGGGGAGGTCCCTCAAAATATCAACAGTTCCCAGGAAGCTTGCCACCATCCCAAGGTGAGCTGAGGCCCGGGAAAGCAAAGTACTGCCTACTTCACACATGGCCTGCACAGGTCTTGCCCCACTGAGGAGCATCTAGTGTGCTTGCTTACCGCAGACATCTTCATCCGAGGAATCGCCACAGTCATCAATCCCATTGCACTTCCACTCAGCCATGATGCACACCCTGTTCCTGCACTGCCACTGCCCAGGCAGGCAGGGCTGCTGGGGACACCCTTCCTCGTCCCAGCCATCCTCGCAGTCCTGGTGCTGATCGCACAGCTCCCAGTGTGGGATACAGTGGTGGGTGCCAGGACACTGCACCTTCTTTGTCCCGCACACTGAGGAGGGAACAGCGCAGCACTCACCACCCTGCCCTGTGCCCCTAACCCCCCCCACTCGGCGCCCCCAGCAGAGACTACGTACCACAGTCCTGCTCATCAGAGCCATCCAGGCAGTCAGCAACACCATCGCAACGCCAGCTGCTAGAAACACACCGGCCATCGTCACACTGCCAAACATGGGGGTCCCCACCACAGGCAACCTCTGCAGGAACATCACACAGTCACTGGGACCTATTGCTGTGGCAAGAACCATAAGGATCCCCTCCATCCTGGCATGGGACAGGTGCTGGCAATGCCTGAGCAGCTCTGCCGAAGGGGCTGGCCCACAGCAGCCCCCGATGGGGCTCTCTGGCAGGTGGGGTCTGCCTTGCTCAGCATAGCATCCAGGACATGTTCCCGTGCCACAGACATTCACAAGGAGCACACATGTCCCTGCAGGATGCCACACAGGCAGAACCAGCAAAGAGCAAAGTGCCTCTGGCCTGCCCTGCCCCACCACTCCCCAGAGCACCAGTGCCCCTCGATGCCCATGCAGTGCAGCCCTCAGGTCCGCCCCACGACAGCGGACAGGTTTCAGTGTTCCCTCACTCACCACACTGTTCGTCCGTCCCGTCAGGACACTGCTGTTCACCATCGCAGAGCCAGGGAACGGGGATGCAGCCGGCGGCACAGGTGGCCTGGCGTGAGGCAGCGCACGTGGGGCCAGCGGCCGCTGCGGAAAGAGAGAGCCCAATCCGGGATCGGCGCGGGTAGCAGCACCAGGCATCCCCCTGCACACCCGCCCTATAGCACCCCGCATGTGTGTCCCAGCACAGCCCCGTGAGGGGAAAGGGACCGGTCCCAGCCAGGGGTACCCCAGGAACTCCTGAGGGGCTGGAGGGAGAACTACAGCCTCTCATCCCCGCTCAAGGAAGGCAGAGGTACAGGGCTCCTCGGGGCGCAGGGACCCCCATGCTGTCAGGATGGGAAGGATGCCACACGGAGCAGGGACACATCACCGGGGGGATGGGGAGAACGGTAGCACTCTCGGCAGCAGGGACACCTCACCCCACAACCCATTGCTGGGGGATAAGCAAGCATCCCTGATGCTGCGGGCATCCACTACAGCCCCTCGGGATGAGACAGGGACCTCCCCAGCCGCCCCGGCCCGCCCCCCTCGGTCCTTGCTCACGGGCGCGGCGGGTCCGGACGTCGGCGGCGCTCCCGGCCAGCGGCAGCAGCGGCGGCAGGAGGATGCTGAGGAGGGCGAGGAGCGGCGGCGGGGGCCGGCCCATAGCGGCGGCGACGGCGGCGACAGAGAGGGGCGGCTCCGGGGGTCCGGCCGGCACAGGGAGCGCGGAGCCGCGGCCGCCGCCTTTATGGCCGGGCGCGGGCGGCCATTGGGCACCGCGGAGTCCCAGGCCCGCCTCTGGCTTCTTCAGGTTTCCCCCCCCCACTGCCCCGTGTCCTCCCGCCCGGCGGGGGTTGTTGTGAGAGCCGGCCGTGAGAACCGGGCCCGTGGCACCTGCGCCGGGCGTGGGAAGGCAGCGGCAGCCTTGAGCGCGGGGGCACCCCCCGAAAACACGGGGCTGCGCGCAGCCCCCCGGCTGCCCGCCGACGGTCCTCGACCTTGAGGGCTGCGAAAAGAGCCGCTGGAGCACAACAAGGAGAGGGAGAGCAGCGGCCGAGGGAGGAAAACAGCCAGGCTAGAGGATAAGGCACCTGCCGCTGCCTGGGAAAGGAGCCCTCTCCCACTAGGCAAAGCAGGGGCATCGCTCAAGCCGTGGGGATGACCCCAGATCACGGGGGTTTGCAGACCCCTTGCTACATACCCGGGGAAAACCGCTGGTGTGCTGCCCCTCCATCATCTTTGGCTTGTCTCCCAGCCATCGGCATGTGGTGGCATGAGTGTCTATCCATCCCCAAGGTTGGTCTGTGTTCTAAGCACATCCATGGCCTGTGGGTGCTGTGCACTCATCCTCTCCAGCTTTCCCATCAAAGCGCCCCACTGCAGCACAACCCTATTACACACCCCTACCCGTGCTGCAGCCCCGGGTGCAGATTCACCCAGCTGTCTACCCTCCCTGGGCAGCATCCCAGTAACCCTGGGCAATTGGTTTCCCCAGGCACTCTCCAGGAAGCACAAGTCTGCAAATCCCAAGGATGATGAGCATCCTCAGGGCAGGAACATCAGGCAAGTGGTCTGGTGGTCAGGGGAGGGAGTGAAAAGGACGGAACAGTATCAAGGCACTCCCAAGCCCATGCAGAAAGCCCCAATGTCCTCCTCACACCTTCAGGCAAATGCTAAGATCTGTGGTAGCTCCCTGGGGATCTGTCTTGTACCCTCAGCTCTGCTACTCTGCAGAGATGTCCAGCACTGCCTCCACCCACTGAGCCTCTACCGCTGTGAGGACCAACCAAGGAAGGGAACAAAGAGACACCCCCTGCAAGAGCAATACCTCTGTGATCAAAAGAAGTGGACAGCACTTTGAGCAGGACACAGAAGGGACCCTCCTGCCTCCCTGGGTTGCCCAGCATGTACAGTCATTTTCCTGCTTTCCATGTCCTTTTCTCAGGCTGGGAAGGGGCCATGGCAGCCTGCCCAGCTGGATGTGCAAGTCCCTAATATTTCTCTGGGCATGTTGCAACATGCATTGCTCCTGCGAGACTAGTAGGCTTGCCTTGCCCACCTGTCCTTGTGTTCAATCTAGTTCCAGCATGACCTTTGCTTTCCCCTGATATCAGACTCCCTGCATGGTGTAACCACACAACTAAAGTAGTAACTCCTCACAGCAGATGGCTGGAAAGGGCAAGAGACAGCAGAGAGACTGTGAAAAAGAGTCAAGAAGCTAGTGGGTGCAGTAGAAGTGCCCAGTGCACCTGAGCATTAGTTTGGGAAGCTGGGGCAGCAGTGACAGAGAGGACACCTGGTGTGGCCAGCCTCTTAAAATGCAGGAGATTTTTTTAGAAGCATGATTTTAAGTCAAAGTATTTTAAATATATGTGTATATATAGAAGAATATATAGGTACATGTGTGCATAGATAGTAGTCCAATCTACATAGTTATATGCACATACAGTGACTCCTTCTCTATGAAGTAATGCTTGTTTTTTCCCGTAGACTTTTTAAGAGATTTTTTTTTTGTATTTTCAGATTTTTCTTTACATTTCCATCAGTAGGGAAGTCTCCTTTTCTCACTGACATTTAGATTCTCCCTTCTCTGCCTCTTAAAGCTAAGGGGGGTTAAGGAGAAGACTGGTATCAAAATGAGAAGCAGCAAATCTGTGCTCACTTGAACAGCAGCATGCAAAATATAAAAATTATAAAAAAGGCTAGCAGAATATCCTAATAAGTCTAAAGTAACATTTGTACCTTTAACTATTCCAAATACAGTAAAAATTTTTTTCAAATATCCAAAGGCAGTTTCACATTAAATAGTGTGATTTATTTTATATTGTTCATATAAAATTACATGTATCCTTTCTGCTATACTATTGATCAGATTCTCTTCTTGTTATTGGTGTAAGAAGCGTTAAACTATTCCTGTTCCTTTCCAGTAAGTTTTAATCACTCTTTTCCTAAAGATAAGGGACATCATGCTGTTAAAAAAAAAAAAAATCAGAGGGACACCCTGCCTCACATCAGTTATCAAGCTTCTGCAACCTTGTTCCCATGAAGAAAGTACAGCTTTATTTGCTTCTATGCAGTGTGGCCTGGCCATGCTCAAAATTAAACTGTCTGAAATCTATTGACTAAAATTTATGCCATCAGAAAAACTGGATTTCATGCAACACTTGTTTCTTCCTAGGAAATAACCTTATTCAATGCTTAAGTTACTAAAAATAAAGGGCATTCCAAACTATTTTAATAAAGGTATGTTTAATTTTAGTTTCCAAAACTGAAGCTTTTTCCAGGTAACAGAAATCAATCTTTCAATTCTGAACAAACAGTCTAGATAATGTACCCCCAAGGACTACAACTCCTACCTCAGGGTCTGGCCCACAGCAACCCAAAGCATTGGCCACACTGACTGCAACACTTCCATGACACTCGCAAAGTCCTGCCCTAGTCTGGTGCCCAGACTCCCTGACATACCACACGATCCTAGTAACTCTAGCCTGGGACAGCCTTGTGAAGTGGGTGACAGATGCTCTGCCAGGGGATAGGAAATTACTGCAGACATTGTCTTTCATTTCCTGTTTTTCTACCTTGCTCTCTTAGCAGCATTGTCTTTCTATTGCTTAAATGTCCCTCCAACCTGTACCACTCTGGCCAGCACCAACCCCAAAGCAAACAGTGGTGGTGGCAGCACCTGCCTTGGTGGGTATTTTAATGAGCAAAATGTTCTCACACCTCCTACCTCCAAGAGCCTCAGCATAGGCAGGAAGGGCACCAGTGCTGAGATCTGTGGGTGGGTAAATCCTCCCACCTCCCAAACAGCCTTGAAAAATTCAAGTTTACAAAACTAAGGCACTATTGTGGAGAACTAGGAAATATTAGCATCTACTGTGATGCAGCTTAAAGTAACAGCATCCTTTACCACAGTATTCTTTCCATTAATTAAAAGAGGTTTGAAAGGAACAACATTCAGGTCATTTGGAGGACTAATTTTATGAATGCACTCAGGAAACAATTTCTTCTTCTCCGCAGTAACAACAAGAGCTACACTGTTCTCAACACCCTAGATGGGATTGGAAACTTGATGCTTTTGCCCTCACGCTTTTTGTTTCAGAACACAACAGGAGAGAAAGATCTTTTTAAGAAGCAAATGAATTACCAGGAAAAGGAAATTAAGCCAGTTTTAAGCTCTTTCACTGATTTTGGGAAGTAAACCCAGAAAGTACTGTTCACTATCATGAAAGGTTCTGAAAAAAATTTGCTTCTTCTCAAAAAACTCTAGGCTTGTGAATGCATCTCCCCCACATCCTTGTCACCCTACTCTTCCCCAGCCTGCTGAGAGTTACTTGTGAGATCTGGAGAAGATGGAGAAAGAAATCAGAACCTCCACTTAAAGATGCTACAGCTCCCTCACATCTCCCGTCAGGGCTTCTTCACCCATCAGGATCTGCCTGCGGTGCCTCCCCAAGCCGCCACTGGGTAGCAGCAGAAGGCTGCAGGAAGGTCCTGCCTTGTTCTGCTCTCCCACTACCAGGCTCTGCGAGTTATCCCTGAGACCTAGGGAGAACAGAGAAGGAAATCAGGACCTCCACCTGTAGATGCCATAGCCCATGCTCAGCCTAACAGCACCCCTGTCGCACATCTCATCTTTCAGACTCACAGGTTGTCACCAAACTCTACTCAAAGCTTCCCTGCAGCCTTGTTGAGGAGGGCGACAAGGTGATACAGATACTGTGAGGAAGCCCAGAACAGGATGATAGGGGCCAAGTCTCCTAGGCTGGGTAGCTCTGAACTAGCTCTGGGATTCTGACCCTTCCACAGAGGGATGAGGAAGGAAAAATCACTGCCAGCCCACACCAACAGGGCAGACACATCTCCCTAGGGTTGCAGGTATACAGGTCTCTGTGAGATAGCTGTGCTAGGAGGACATTAGGGACCTGCCGCGTGGTGACATGTTCATCTGTGTGTATATAGACATACATATAGAGGCAGGTGCATATATAGATTCACATACACCTGTATGGATGTTGAAGGATTGTTTCCAGTCCTTTGATACCCTGCCCCACTGAGGTGTCTCCTGTCAGGCAGGTCACTTAGGTCAATGTATCTTGGATAAGGTGTTTAAAGCAATGTGAAGTGCTGCTGTTCCCCCTTGCTGCAAGGTATGG